TTTTTTTTTTTTGCGTGCCTCCTTTTCGAAATTTCAAATAATCTCCTATTTGAGTTGAGGAATGACATCTTTTTAAATCGGAAGAAGTCTGAGAAGATGTAGACTTTGCCTTCTATTGAAAGGATGACGAGAGTCCAAAGCCTAGTAGGCCTCTTTAGTGTGTGCACACGATTCTTGTACTTTAGAATGTTCTCCTTTCTCAAAAATCTTTACATACTATGTGTCTTCCATTTTCTAATGAATGTATATGCTAAACTAAAAGATGCATGATATTTTTTTTCTGCCTAAATTTTATCATTCATTTTTTTATTAAAAGGAAATGATTTATGATTTTTGCTATATATTTATTTTTTTTTTTTTTGGAAGAGTTTATCTGTTTTCTTATCCATCCTGAGAATTTGTTAGTCATTTGTATTTGAATCAAAATCAAAATTTGCTAAAATAATGGTATATGTAAAGATGAATCATGATTAAGGAGAAATCCTTTTTATATGGCTCATGCGTGGTCTGTGGTTGAATCACCACACTAATATGAGAGCACTCCCATGTGATAAATCTAACGTGACATGATCCTCGTAACATTAAATATTTGAAGCATTATGATATCAGTAACGTCAGTCAAGAGATATACAAAATACCATTGGATGCAAATCAGATAACGTTAACAGACCTTGGATGAATCTTCAACTTAAGAGATATTTAATATATATGGTATCATTGGTATGTTTAATTTGCTAAAAAAAATGGTATTGTACTGGACAACACAAATATAATTATTTTTATTTAATTTAAGAAAAAATTATGGTGCAACACAAATCATGAGACTATAGACAGGATAAAAACTCAACTTGTTAGTGATCTTTATCTTTATGATCTCTACGCATTTCATTACTCTACTGGAAATCTCCTCTACCCCAACTGTACTTTAGTTTTATACTTTCCATTACCTGTCTGAGTTGAGCAATGGGATTTCAAATATTATACTACATGAGTTTTGATAATGCAATGTAATTGGACTTTCATGTTAATACGAATGAATCTTCCTTTTCACATAAGAGTATAACAAATTATAAATTTGTCTTGGTAGGGCATAAGATATCACTTATTTCTTATTACTCAATAAACTATGATATGTTCAAAGTTCAAATATTCAAAATATAAAAAAAAAATCACTTATTTTTTATTTAATAAATACTTTTTTTTTATTTTTTATTACTATTATTATTGTTGTTATCATTATTATCACTATAACTATTATTGACATAATTAGAGCTGTCAAAGTGAGATCCAGCCCGTGGGTCAACCCGACCCACCTTGAAAATGGACTGGGCCGGGCCAAAAAAATGAAAAAAATTTATGATGGGTCAAAAAATGTGACCCGACCCACCCAGGTTGAACCTGTGGTGGGCTGGGCGGCCCACCTGACCCATTTACCAACCCATCAACTTAACCCACTAACAACTCACTTAACTATTTATTATTATATATGCATTATTTTAATAAGATATCATTTTTTTATAGATAAAGATAAAATCAATGTTAAATAAAATGAAATTGGTATAAATTTATCTATCCAAACCTCCAATAAAATTTAATATTGATGAATAATCACTCTCACGAAAGAATTTTTATTTTAATTTTTTAAAGTTGTACATTTTTTAATTTAATTTTAATGTTGTATCCATGATACTTAGTTTGATAATTTTTATTTTAGATTAGATATTATTTTATATTAAAATTTATTTTAAATTATAATTTTTTTAAAAAAAATCAGGTGGGTTGGTGGACGGCCCGTTTAGCCCACCAACCCGTGGTAGGCCAGGTCGGGCTAAAAAAATTTGCATAATAAATTTGGTGAGCTGGGCCAGGTTGGCCCACTTAAAAAATGGGTTGAGATAGGCCGGGCCAAACGGGCCGGACTGGCCCGTTTTGACAGCTCTAGACATAATTACAACCATACCATCACCATTACTATCATCATTATTGTCAACATTGGTATAATTATTACTATAGTCATTACCTTTGTCGTATTAAAATAATTATAAGATATATTATTTGTGACTCTAAATCTTTAGATTGTTTGCATATTTTTGTTGGATGATCTATGTGTTCAATTTTATAGGTATAATATGTCCAATTTATTCATTTAATATGATGAATTCAATCTATTCCTTCAATTTGATTGTTTGAATATGTTTAATTTATCTTCCTATGATAAGTTCAGTTTGTTCAATCTCGTAAAGTTTTAATCTTAAAGACTTAGATTCCTATATATATTTGTTTAGAGATCTTATGAAAGGGAGAAAGAGAATATAAGTACATAAGAAAGATTCATGTAAAGAAAGGAAAAACTTGTGAAAGAGATCAAAAGATTATTGATAAAGATGAATAGTTACTCAATTATAAAGATTTGATCTTATCTCTCTCTACTTAAATTGTATTATTCTTTTACTCTTTATTTTTGTTTTTAGGTTGTAAGATTTATGTATTTTTTGCTTAATTAGTTTTTGGGCTTTACTTTTCTGTTAAGTACTGTGCATTTTTTGCATTTCTTAAATTGTTCTTGTGTAGAATATGTTTTGACAGCTTTCCTTCTTGTTTAGGACTAACAAGATAACACAATGAATTTTATATTAATTTACTTACATTATCCATCTATTGTACACCAAATAATACTTAATAATAATAAAAAATCAGTGTCATGCGCATCATGAATTCATTTGGAAATGAACTTCATGTTGGATTTAATCGTGTATTCTCAAAACACTGATCAACTAATCATTATTAGCTACAATGATGATGCCATTTGAGAAACTAATCATTATCATCATGCCTTATATAGATTAATCAATGACGATAACAACTGACATGATAAATGAAAATTAAAATAATAATGGCAAACGGGTGATATTTTGTTTAATTCACACTTTCATAGGCGACCACTATGATCACCGTATCGACAGAGAAAAGGGTGAATAGAACATAATAACGAGAACTGCCAACGTCGATGTATACAATTATCTATCTAGTAAAACATCCGATGACTTATATAGAAGAAGCATTATCAACAAAACCCAGGTTAAAAACAATGACCCTCACTCAATTCATACAACAAACACATGAACAAGTCAATGTTTTTTTGACTGCTTCAGAAATTAAACATCGCTGAAAGCCATCATCCATTCATCCATCCACGTAGGTTCAATTAGAAACAACCTTCACATCTCAAAGACCCCTCAAGCACCAACATCCTCATCATCATCCTCGTACTCATCCTCATCAACAGTAGCATCCTGGTACTGCTGGTACTCTGCCACCAGATCATTCATGTTACTCTCAGCCTCAGTGAACTCCATTTCATCCATTCCCTCACCAGTGTACCAGTGCAAGAAAGCCTTGCGCCTGAACATGGCAGTGAACTGCTCGCTAACTCTCCTGAACATCTCCTGAATTGATGTTGAATTTCCGATGAATGTGGATGACATCTTCAGACCCTTTGGTGGGATATCACACACGCTGGACTTCACATTGTTGGGTATCCATTCCACGAAGTAAGAAGAGTTCTTGTTTTGTACATTTATCATCTGTTCGTCCACTTCCTTGGTGCTCATCTTACCACGGAACATGGCAGATGCAGTCAGATAACGACCGTGGCGTGGATCTGCAGCGCACATCATGTTCTTAGCATCCCACATCTGTTGTGTCAATTCTGGCACAGTCAAGTTGCGGTATTGCTGGGATCCTCTTGATGTCAAGGGGGCAAATCCCACCATGAAGAAATGGAGACGAGGGAATGGGATCAGATTCACGGCAAGCTTCCGAAGATCAGAGTTTAGTTGTCCAGGGAAACGTAGACAGCAAGTAACTCCACTCATGGTAGCAGAAATGAGGTGGTTAAGGTCCCCGACTGCAACAAACAAGAAAAAAGACAAATGAAAATTTTAAGTCTGGAATATGAAAAATGAGACTTAAACTCACCATAATCCTCCCACCAATATAATGATATCAGTTTAAAAAAATCTTCCTAGCAATATTGCAACTTTTATTAACCCTGATAATTTGTTTTGATAGCTGCAAAAGGATTAGAACCAAAAGAAAAATCTAATGGGACTTGAAACAAGAGTTGCTATATATATTTGCAAAGACCTTAACCATATTTAAGCTTAATGATATATAATCCTAAATTACCAATATAAATGGCAAATTGAAATGTCAACAACATTACTATTCACTACACAAATCACCAACAGTTAATAATCTACAGAGGATTAACTACACCAGCATGATCATGAACAGTGACTCAAGAACAACTACCAAAATGATATCATAAGCTGAACTAGAAATGGAAAACTCACAAGTTGGTGTAGCGAGCTTCAAGGTACGGAAACAGATATCATAGAGAGCCTCATTGTCGAGGACCATGCATTCGTCGGCGTTTTCAACAAGCTGGTGCACAGAAAGCGTGGCATTGTAGGGCTCCACAACCGTGTCCGACACCTTAGGGGAAGGAAAGACGGAAAATGTCAACATCATACGATCTGGATACTCTTCCCGAATCTTGGAGATGAGAAGCGTTCCCATGCCGGAGCCAGTGCCGCCTCCCAAAGAGTGGCAGACTTGAAACCCTGTGAAAGCCAGCATCGAAATAATGTAAAAAGTCCCATATTGAACAGTAACATGTCCAATATAATAATATATATAAGCAAGATATGAGTATATGTTGAGATAAAAAAACCTTGCAAACAATCGCAATTCTCGGCCTCCTTCCTGACAACATCCAAGACGGAATCGATGAGTTCGGCGCCCTCGGTGTAGTGACCCTTGGCCCAGTTGTTTCCGGCGCCGGACTGCCCGAAGACGAAGTTATCGGGGCGGAAAATCTGGCCGATGGGTCCGGATCGGAGCGAATCCATGGTGCCGGGTTCCAGATCCATGAGGACGGCGCGTGGGACGTACCTTCCGCCGCTGGCCTCGTTGTAGTAGACATTGATGCGTTCCAGCTGGAGGTCGGAGTCGCCACTGTACTTTCCGGTGTGGTCGATGCCATGCTCGTCGCAGATCACCTCCCAGAACTTGGCGCCGATTTGGTTGCCGCACTGGCCGCCCTGGATGTGGAGGATTTCTCTCATTTTCTCGGGAAGGAGGGGAAAATGGAACCACCCTCTTCCGCCTTTTATCTTTTTCCTTTTTCATTACTCATTGGTCCCGAGAATTTTAAGGGCCTTCTGCGCTTATTTTGCCTCTCCTTTCCTTTTCAGGCCTATCCCAAGCTGTCCATTATTTCCACAAATTATACGTACGTGTACGCCCAACAATTCCTTCTCCTAACTAAAGAGTAAAGACAAGCGCTATCTGTGTACAAAAATCATCTCCATGCTTCTCATTATATCATATCAGTTTCAATATTTTTATGTACATAATAAAAATATATATATATCAAGACCATGACAGCCGGCATGTACATATATTTCTAAGCTGCATGATGCGTATTAACAAACAATTAAAACCATCAAACATGACTATTAATTTCAAGCCTCTTTTGAGCGGCAAAAATGATTTTCTTCTACTTAGAATCATGCATGCTTCCCCTATATCAAGATGGAAACAATCTCCGATTCTTGCACAGCATCAGAATTCAGAAAATAAAACTACCAACGAGTTCCTTCACATTATCCTCTGTTGTTCGCTAGTCTACTAGAGATAATTAAACACTCGTAAAATCATCAACATGGTTGCCAGCGCACACTTGTTTTGCCTCGTGGCTCTCACGTTCACTCTAGCCTTGGCAGTTGATCACACTCCACTTCAGGATTTCTGTGTGGCACACCCCAAAAGTCAAGGTAAGTGTACAAGAATATGCATCAAACACTTTCGTATTGGATTTCTAATCCTACACCTTTTTAATACAATGTTAGTAATACATTAATTTAACACATTTTTCACACGTAAAATTCAAGTACAATTTAATTACTAAATCATAAATGGACCTACCTAGTTCTTTTTTTAGTGAACTTCACACGAATTATACTACCATGCATGATAACCAGCGAGTACGTTGATTTGTTTCTTCTAACAGTTTTTGAATTTAGTCCTGTGCTGCTACATTAAATACTTGAAAACATTTTATGATCTAGTGGTCTTTATATATGGCTGAAATCAAGTATTCTAAGTTTATATATAATTCTTACTGGTTATTTGTTACAGTGCTAGTAAATGGATTGGCTTGCAAAGACCCCACACTAGTAGAGGCTAATGATTTCTTCTTCAGAGGACTTCACCTAGCGGGAAACACAACAAACCCAGTTGGATCAAAGGTGACTCCAGTTACATTTTCACAGCTACCAGGACTGAACACTCTGGGGATTTCACTTGCACGCATTGACTTTGCAGCGTTGGGCACAAACCCTCCCCACACGCACCCTCGTGCCACCGAAATCCTCAACGTGATTGAAGGCACCCTTGAAGTTGGGTTTGTGACATCAAATCCTGGAAACCGTCATGTCACTAAAGTGCTGCAAAAGGGTGACGTCTTTGTCTTCCCCGTGGGACTTGTGCACTACCAGAGAAACCTGGGTTCTGCCAATGCCATTGCCATTGCAGCTCTCAGCAGCCAAAACCCAGGGGTTGTTACTATTGCTAATGCCGTGTTCGGGGCAGTGCCGGACATTGCAAGTGACGTTCTTGCCAAGGCTTTCCAACTGGACAAACATGTTGTCCCTAATTTACAGTCCAAGTTCTAGGATGTTGAAGAACGTGTTGAGTTTGTGTGTGTTTTTCCTTTGAATTGATGCTGCATTGTGCTTTGTTGTTTGAATTGGTTTATTCATTTATTTATGCTGTTTTTGTTTAATTTGTTCTGAGACAAAATTGCTTTAGTGTTTGTTCCTCGGTATGTTAACAATGTTCCCTTCATGACATGTATCATGTTCTAAATCAACTTTTAGTTCTGTTTTATACTATTTCTTTTGGTTTATTCAGTGCGACTAGTTAAGTGTTTCTTATTTTAAGGTTATTTTTGGACTGACATCACCTGTCTCGTTATGTGCTACTACAAAAAAAAAAAAAAATGGAATTTAGCGGTCACCAAAATCAGTGGCTAAATTACCAAAATCGGTCACTATTTACCTTAGCAACTGAAATTAAGTAGTCGCAAAAACCTTGGTCACAAAGTTATATAGCGACTGAAAATTTTGGTCGCTATTTAGCGACCGGAAATTTCGGTCGTAAAATGATTGCAATGATTTGTATGAGGATCAAATTAGTGACCGAATAAATCGGTCGCTAAATTGGTCGCTAAAGATTTATTTTTTATTTTATTAAATTTTATAGATATCGCAAATTCGGTCGCTACGAAACACTCATATTTGGCCTCTCAAGGATTCTATTTCACCAAGTCAAGCACGCTTAACTGTGGAGTTTTGATGAGATAAGCTACCGAAAAGCAGATGCATGTTGTTAGTATAAGTAACACAAATTAATTTATTTAAGTCATCTTCAACTATACAATCTCAACTTATACTATCTTTAGATCATTCTCATTTCGGTGTGTCCGGACTGTTATAATATATAATAATATATATAATAATTATATTACTAATAATAATTATTATATTATATTTAATTAATCTTTATTTATATATATATACTTATTTTTATAATTAACAATCTACTTATTTCTATTTAAAATTAATATTATGATACAATTTAAATTATTTATTATAAATTTAAAAGTTTAAATAATAATTTTTATATTTTAAAATGAGAAGGGTTATAATAACACTGGTATAATTTACACTAAGTATTACACTGTTCAATAACTTTATATTAAATGTGAATTTTGTAAATCTAACCGTTAGACTGAAAGTTCATATCACTTTATATTTTTATATCAAGTTTCGTTAAAATTGAACAACAACTTGAAGGTAATCAAAGTGCTCATATTTTATATTTTGAAATGTATATATTACGCCAATTTTATTTTACAAGAATGAAGTATCAAATCATCTTGAATTTATATAAAATTTTGTATATATGATCTAATAGTAAAATTTTTTCAATCTAACGGTTAAATTTATAAAATTCACATTTAATATAAAGTTATTGAGTAATATAATACTTAGTAAAAGTTACACCGCTGTTATTATAACCATTCTCTTTTAAAGTATTATTTTTATAAATTAAATTTTAACATTTTAAATAAATTATTAATTAACTTAATATATTTATTCATCTTAAATCTAAGATATAAAATTCAAAAAATGTATTTATCCTTGTTTTATTTTCTAATTATCAACCATTAATAAAATACTAATTTAAAATCTTATCAAGTTATATCACAATATTTTCATATCAAGTTTAAAACCGAATGTTAATTAGATATAAAATATGTTAATTTGTGTTGAGATTTTATTTCAACACGAAACTTTAAAATAAATGTGCGAATAAAAAAACTCTGTTAAAACGGTCACATATTCTATTTGATAGAGAAAAAAGCAAGGAAACGCATTGTGATGTATTAAAAACTGATCAAAAAGAACAAGCGGGTGGTTTGCCGAATTAGTTAAGGGGGAAGACTTAAAATTTTCTCCACATAAGTATGTGTGTAGATTCGAGTTCTACTGTAAATAATTTTAGCCTTTTTAAACAAAAGAGGTGTATATATCATAAGTTAAATACTATATATGAACATCTTTGAGTAAATTAAAATCAAAAGATAATAGTTTTTTAAATTACTAAAAAATATTTTATTTTATAATTATTTCACAAATTCTTACTATTTTTTGTATAAGTCAATCGCTTTTAACAATGAAACTAACACGATTATATCAATTGAATTGAATGGATAAATCTAACTTTTAAAATAACAATTGAAATAAAATAAGATTCATGAAAATAATTTCAAAATATATTAGGTAAATAATTTTTATATATAATAAAATATTAAGCATGATAAAAGAGAAATAAATTTCTCAAGAGAAAAATAAATAAATTTTCTAGATAAATTATTATTTAAATTAGTCTAATTTTTTTAAAAATGATTCAATTAAAAGATTATTATTTAATTTTCTTTTATAGCATTATGTTTCTCATTTTTTAATACATCATGATATATTAATTATCTATTTTAAATTATATAATTTGTATTATTTTAAAAAATAAATTAATTTTATTAGGAGGGTAATGATTTTTATTTCTTACCATTAATATTTTTAACATTATAAAAATAATATTATATATTTTTATATTTGCTTTCATTTAAAAGAGATATATTTTTAAAATTTTTAAAAAAATTACATTTAGCGGCCGATTTTAATCTGGTTGCTAAAATTATTATAAAAAATAATATTTTTTTTATTTTTTTAGCGACCGATTTTAATTTGATCGCTAAAATTATTGTAAATAATAATATTTTATTTTTTAGCGACCGATTTTAGTTTGGTCACTAAAATTATTATAAAGAATAATATTTTTATTTTTTTAGTGACTGATTTTAATTTGGTCGCTAAAATTATTATAAATAATATTATTTTTATTTTTTTAGCGACCGATTTTAATTTGATCGCTAAAATTATTATAAATAATAATATTCTTTTATTTTTTTAGCCACCAATTTTAATTTAGTTGCTAAAATTATTATAAATAATATTATTTTTATTTTTTTAGCGACCGATTTTAATTTGATCGCTAAAATTATTATAAATAATAATATTGTTTTTATCTTTTTAGTGATCGATATTAATTTGATCGCTAAAATTATTATAAATAATATTTTTTTATTTTTTAGTGACCAAAACCGTTCGGTCGCTATTTTAACCAACAATTATTATTTTAGCGACTGATTATTGGCTACTAAAAAATTCGATCGCTAAATAAAATTTGCAACCAAAATAGATTCGGTCGCTAATTATGTTGCTATTGACGACAGAAAAAAATCAGCCGCTAATTCTAGTGGCTAAATTGACTTTTTTGTGCGCTGCATTGGAATTCCGAGTTGCCATAAAAAATGCTCTTTAATAAACACGAAAGGCAATTTCATAAAGAAAAAACATCTTAAACCCGAGCAATTTGAACAAATTCATTCTTATCACCTTTGTAGAACTTTGAAATGTAAAAAATTTTGAAAATATATTAAGTGTAAAAATATATATTAATGTATGTTAATTTAGGAGTAGTTTAAAAAAAAATTTAAGACAATTACTAATCTTAAAAAATAATTAACATTTTTAATTTTAATAAATTAATTATTTTAATTTTGTAATAAAAATCAGATGATGTAATGATTAATTGAGATCATATAAACACTGTTATAATATAAAAGTTGAATCACAAACTATTTCATTAATATGTTATTATACTCTCAAATTTTAAATGTGTCTCATCAATATATTTGTTTTTGTGTGAATTTTTTTATCTTTTTTGCTAAGTTTTTTATGTGTGAACTTCTCTACATTTCTATCTTTTATTATAACTTTTCTTTACCCTTTATATAATTATATAATTATAATTTGCATATCACTCCAAACATCATCAAAATTAAAAGGTATTACTTTTTCTTGGTCTCTACATTTCTATCTTTTATTATAATTTTTCTTTATCTTTTATTTAGTTATATCTCTCATATATAGTCTATTTAACTCATTTATCACCCTTTTATTGTCTAATTTTCATATTACTGCAATCATAATTAGAACTCAAGGTTACTATTTTTTTCTGAATTTTTTTACACATAATTTGGAATTTCATAACTCATTTTTTCATGTCAATATTATTTTCCCCATCAAATATCTCTACAATCTATCTTGTATTATATCCCTTCTCTATCTTATATACTACATCTTTTCCTCCTACACCGCAATCTTTATTAAAAATTAAAGATACTATTTTTTATTCCTTTTTTTCACTATTATCAATTTTTTCAATTCTAATTTGGGATTTGATAACTTGTTTTATGTGAGAAGAAGAATTAAAATTACAAAATCATATCACCTTCCATGTAAAATTGAATTTCAAATATTTTGTTTTTATGTGCATGAAATTTACGTATAAAGAATGAAAAATTAGTAAAGACTTTGACATTGATTATTTTTCTATTGTTGAAATTTGACATGTGAGAAGTAGGGTTTTATAATATTGGTTTTAAATTTTCATTTTTGTTATTGTATACTTTTGATTATTATATATGTTTGATTATAAAGCATTTGAATTTGGAAAAGGCAGATTTAGAAGAATATGAAAGTCATGTGATTTTGATATTTAATTTGCTACTATAGTTTGTAGATATTATAAAGCTTTAAAATAAGTAATTTAAAAAAAAAAATTAAGACAACAATTTCTCCTAAATCAATTATAACGAGAGGTGAGTATGCACATTATCCAAGTCTTACTATTATTGATACAACTAGTTAATTTGTTCTTAAGCTAAAAAATAAATGATACCATAATGTTGTTGTGTTTATAATTTTTATATTCTTTTTGAAATGATCAATTTTAAATTTTCATTTAACTTTCATCAAATGATGTATATTTCATAGACAAGTTTATTGCATATTTGGTTTATTCATTTTAGTTGGGAAAGTAACAAAACAAAAAAAAAATACAAGAATGACAACTAATGTTATTTCATTTATGTTTGTATTACAAATAATATATATTCAATATCCAACACAATTATAATTATAATATTAAATACATACTTATTTACATTTACATTGTTAAGTTATATATATATATATATGTGTGTGTTATTTTTTATTAAATTTTTACATCATTCTTAAAATGAGTTATTAATAGATCCACATGTAAAAACTTATTCCAAGGAATTTTTACAATCTCTCATGAATCATATTCTTTTTAGTTGCGTTTAATTGCAATTTTTTTCCAAGATGAATTTATTTCATAAAAAAAACTTTAATCTAATTAACATGGGATTTTGTTTATACAAAATTAATTTTAGCTACTATAAAGACAATACAAATTAAACAAGTATTAAATATTTTGGTTTACATTTTAATTTATTTATTCTAACATTAATGAAGAACAAGATGCTAAAAGATCAGGTTTTTTTTTTTTTTTTTAACTATACATACTAAAACAAAGAATGTTAGGTTAGAATAATTGAAAGTATAATTTGGTCACACATTATGAACTTTTTGTTCATTTATGTATTCAAATATTTAATAAAAAAATATGTATAAACAAACTTTACAACCAAAATATATAAATTTTTAATAAATATTCATATATTTTCTATTGTATAAAATAAGTCGTGTGAAACCGTTTTCGAAACAAGATTCATTTCAAATAAGATATATGTTTATGTGATAAAGAGATTAAATGATATACTATTACTATAAATATTATATAAAGATAAATATAATAAGGTTTGTAACAATAAAATTTTCTTTTGTCTAAAAAATTTGCACTAGATTTTAAATTTAGAATTTCATATGTATTATCCTAAATCTTTCACCTCTAATTATAATAAATTTATGTTACATAATTAAAAAAATTATAATTAAAATTAAATTAATAAAATAAAATAATTTATAATTTATAACTTTTTCCCCACGCATGGCACAAATTTTTTTCTCAAATAATATTTTTTTAAAAAAAATTATCAAAAAAATATTTATTACACATTATTTACTCAAATAGACCTGTTTATTGTTCACACTCAAGATTTGGTTCTAGGGGAACTGAATTCTGAGCAGCGTATTTTTTTTTGTGCTCAGAATTCGGTTCCCGGAGAACCGAGTTCTGAGTAGTGTTTAAATTTTTTTTTTCTTTTTTATTCGTTTTGGGCTCAGGAATATGTCAATTCTGATCCATTCGTCATGTGTATATTTTTTTATCTGGAACGGGCCGTTTTGATTGCAGAACGGCCCGTTCTAAATCCAGTTTTCCTCTTCCTCAAAAACTAAAACGCAAAAAAAATAAAAATAAAATAACACTGCTCAGAATTGGGTTCTCAGGAACCAAATTATGAGTGTGAACAGTAAATAAATCTACTTGGATAAATAATGTGTAATAGATGTTTTTTTGGTAATTTTTTTTAAAAAAATATTATTTGAGAAAAAAATTCTGCATGGCACGGGTTTATCTCTAGCTAGTATATTTTTTTCAAAAAGCTAGTGGGCATAAATCAATACACTTTTGAAAGTCTACTACCTCTTCTATATATTATTTGTGGCTCTCCCTTCAACTCTAATAAAATAATTCATTGAAGGGACAGCAACTTTCCACACACCGGATGTGATATGTGGTGTGAACGTAGGTTTTATTTTAATGTTTTTTGCTTTGAGTCCTCCCTGTCAAAAATGGAGGCCAACAAGCACTAGGGAACAACTTAACCCATACAAATGGTCACACCTTTCTTGATTTTGCATGAATGTGACAACTCCAGAACAAGTCATGAAAATGACCTTACAGTAGAATTTTTGTTAGATTACGAGTCTTGTTTATTCTACGAATTATCAAGGTGAAAAACACATGTCCCAAACAAAATATCAAGGTGAAAAAAATAGAACATTTATAATTTAATATTTTTAAGATTTAATTTCATTTTTTTTATCACACTCATGTTTCATATAATTATATGAATTTTATTACTAAACTTTTGATTTTATATATTTTATTATTTAACTTTTACAATTTTATATATTTTATCACACCTTAGTTGGTGTTGATATAATAATTAATAATATGTTAAAATGACACATTAAATAATAATATATTAAGTTAATTGTCAACATTATATATTATATAACATCATCATTTTTATATCTCACCAATAATTTATATCAACGTCAAGAATGTTGTTAGTGAATAATTACCGACATTAAATTTATTCTCAACTAATAAGTAATAAAATATACAAAATGTATATTTTTAAAAATGACTTCATTTTAATTAGAAAAAAGCATTGTATGGAGTTAAAATAATTGATAATTTGATACCTAAGTCCCCGTCAAATCTTTATGAAAACTATTCATGCACTTTCCTTGAACTTGCCTTTAGCTTTCCACACCAATTCTTATGCCTCCCACAGAAAGAATCCACGTATGGATGCCAAAAATCATTGACTTGATTCTCACCAAATTAATAAGATTGATAATGAGGTACTCTACTCTGCTATTTGGGAAGTACTAGTTCTTAGATTAATCCAATTAACCTAGGAACATGGTGAAGCTACTTTGGTCATGCTTCTGGGTTATCACATTTTCATTCCACTGCTTAACATTAGCTCTCAGTGGAACTAACTTGACCACAGATAAGTATGCACTTCTTGCTCTCAAATCCTCCATCACTAGGGACCCTTACTTTTCCCTCACTCATAATTGGTCTGCCTCATCATCTTTATGCAACTGGGTTGGTGTCACTTGTGATGCTTACCACGGGAGGGTTAGGACCTTGAGTCTTGGTGACATGGCTCTTAGTGGCACCATACCCCCTCACTTGGGCAACCTCACCTTCCTTAATAAACTCGACCTCGGTGGAAACAAATTCCATGGTCACTTGCCAGAGGAACTAGTTCGCATGCGTAGGTTGAAGTTACTAAACTTGAGCAACAATGAATTTAGTGGAAATGTTTCCGCATGGATTGGAGGTTTATCTGCACTCAGATACATGAACCTTAGAAATAATAAGTTTGGTGGTTTTGTTCCTAAATCTATTTCCAATCTCACAATGCTAGAGATCATGGCTTGGGACGATAATTTCATTGAAGGAAGCATTCCAGCTGAAGTTGGTAAAATGACCCACTTGAGGATTTTGTCAATGGGTTCAAACTGTCTTTCGGGGACTATTCCTAAAACTATTTCTAACCTATCTTCCCTCGAAGGAATCAGTTTATCTTATAACTCTCTTTCAGGTAATGTATTTCGATCAATATATTATTTTTATGGCTATCTGCAGATAATTATGAAAGTAGTTTTCACCTTCTCCTTTCCTTTTTATTTTTTATTTTTGTCATGAAATTTAGTTTCAAGATCCTCCAAAACCCAGCAGATGACAGCTTTACATGATATACTATGGTATTATTTGAAAATTTTCCTCTTATTTTCTTTTATAGCAATCAAAACTAATAAATTTTCCATATATAATATTATAGTTATTTTTGTGATAATAAATTTGCTTTTTCTTCAAACCATTTTTTTATTTTTCATTTTTTTATCAAGTTCAATGGCTATACAATATAAAATACCAATAAAAATTACTATTATGATTTTAATTGTTTACTATAAAAATTAATAAGTTTGTGACTAAAGTTCTCTGTTTTTCTCAATATATCTCTTTGTTTGACCAATGCACCCCAAAAATAGGGGCATGTTTACCATTTTCCTATTGTTTATTAATGATGCATGGAGAGGTCGATGCTGCTCGCCAAATCAAGTCACGGGTTCAATTTTTTAGAAAATAAAATAAAATAAAAATATCTTTGATTGTGAAGTAACACATATACATGGATTTATCAACTTAGTTTCTCGGAAGTCTTGGGTCCCATTTTTAATATTGTTTTACATTTTTTTCATCATCTATTGTTTTACATTCGTTATGTTCTCACGCGTTCTATGAAGCTTAATTTGTCTTTTAATTATAAAGAAAAAAAAATGTATGAAACTTTGTCTCTACATCAAGTACTTCTCAGTGGGTGATTGTTTTGTGAAATTAAAATAAAGGAGGCATTCCAAGAGAGATGGGTGAGCTTCCAGAATTAGGAACAATGTATCTGGGAAATAATCCACTTTCTGGTTCCGTACCATCAACAATCTTCAATAACTCAGTGCTACAAGACATTGAACTTGGCTCCAGCAATTTATCTGCCTCTCTTCCATCAAACTTGTGTCATGGACTTCCAAAAATTCAAATACTTTATCTAGGTTTCAACCAGTTTTCCGGTAAATTGCCATCTGTTTGGAACCAGTGCAAAGTTTTGACAGATGTAGATTTGTCACAAAACAGGTTCACCAGAGGAAGCATACCAGATGACATTGGAAACTTACCTATGATAAACTCCATTTATCTTGATGAAGACAACTTGGAAGGTATGCTCTTCCTTTCCTGTTATATATCTTCATATAATATAATTTCATCATATTAATTCTTTGCTTTATATATTCTACTGGATTCAATTTGCATTGAAGTCTTCCTAGTTCTTATATTATTTTCAAAGTTTTAAATTTGTTTTTATCATGATAAGAATTACAAAAGACAAGAATAAAAAGTTAGAATTAAACATCACAACGTGGGTTGAATTCGTTGAATTGATCCGTCTATTTTTGGTGAATTAGATTGGATATATAAATAAAATCACAAACTCATTTCTATTTTTAAGTAATTATTCTCATTTTATATAAAATAAAAATATATTATTTTAATTACTTCTTTCTATTAATACATTTTCATATATAATTTTTTAATATAAATATATATTATTTTAATTTTTTGTATGAAAAATATAATCCTTTAATAAATTTTATAAATAATAATAAAATCATATGTCTAAGTGACTATATATATTGAATTCATCAATTATGATTATTTTAAAATTTGGATGAATTGAAAGAGAATCAATTTATCAATTTATTATTTTTAATCTATCAACCTGCTAAAATGGATTAATCTACCAATTTACCACTAAGGTGTGACATTTTTCAAACTCCTTTTTTTTAGGTCATTTTGTTCTACTTTTTATTTTATTTTATTTTTTTATGAATCAACCTCCACATCACTTTAATTGAATTGACTCACTTTATCTTCCTTAACTTAAATATAATATTTTGTTTATATTACTTCCATCTTACCATCAGATCTAATACATTCATATGTTTTCAATTTAATCATGTTAATAAAATTTCCAGTTACATGTTGGATGAAAAAACTGTTAATATATACTACAAAATTAATCATACACATGTATATACTTGCTATTATTGGGTGATTTTTCAAGTTTGCACCTGATCTAAATAAAATATATTTTTGATATATTGTTTATATATATATATATATATATATATTGTATTTAAACACAAAATATTAACCTTAGAAACGTTTGAAAATAGAAAATTCTAAATAACGCTAAAATTCAAATAAGATAATCATTAGTAAAATAAAAACACTTCTCCATATTATTCAATTATTTTTATTATATTTGAATACAATATATTAGCATTATAATTTTTAATGTACAAAATTTTAAATAATATCTATAAATCTGATTAGAATTCTTTTTTCTAATTTTAAATTTTTTATTATATTTGAGTGATTAAAACAAGATAAATCAAATAAGAAATAAGAAAAGGGCCGCAAACAAAAACAATACTGTTAAAATAAAAGGCGAAGGAGTGTATAACTTTTGCTTTTGAATAAAAAAACAACATAAAAATTGACATAGATTTGATAATAGGTCATCAACAAAAAAAGGATAAAAGGTGAAAGATTGTGAAACCTTTTTTGCTCTTTTGAAGTGTATAAAAAAATTAAAAAAAGATACAGATATAGGAGTCATAGGACCCACGTAATGTAGTTGATCAAGATGGATGCAATAGAAGTATAGAACTGTCAAGATCGTCGACGCTGTGGACAAAAAAATTAGTCCATATCAAAGTTAGGCTGTTATTTTTGTACCAATCCTGAAAAATAATGCTTTTAGAAATTTGTTATTACATATTAAAATAAAGACACAAATTCTTGAGATGTTAGTTAAGTATTTTAAACTTTTACCATATTAAATTACCGTAGTCGAACTAGTGATAGAAAATTATAATAAAATATATAAAATTTTAAATTTAAGTTCTAATTTTATTATTGTAATTTGGATGAATAATTTTTTTTAATCTTATTATGCAAGTTTTTTGTGTTCTAATTTTATTAATTGTATGTTAGTTTTAAAATAAATTTTATTTTTAAGAAGATATTTTTTTTAAAGATGATATAAACATACCATTATGAACTCCCAAAGTCTTTTTTATAGTCACTATAGTTAATTTCATTATTGTTTAACTAGATAAAAAAACAGTCCTTCATTTTTAATTTAAAAAATATTATATAATTTTTAAAATATACTCATGCATTAGAGTAGACATCTGATAAGTAACAACTATATATATATATATATATATATATATATAGGAGGGTTAAAACGACACTTGTATAACTTTTACT